CCATGGCAATGGCCAATGTTCAGTTAACGGTGACCAGAAGGGGGTGTATGCAGGATTTTTGCTCCAGTTCGCGCCCCTTCAGAGATTGCGTTCGGTGAGGTTCTAGTGAGTTCCATGAAGCTCTCCGACATAACAATCATGCAGTCAAAAGATTTTTTTTGAATCTAGTACGGGGATATAGCACAAAAATTGTGTTTTGAGATACCAGTTAACTAGAAGCAATCCCGTAGGTAAAACAATTCTGGTTGGAGGGCGTAGACATGGGTACAGATCCATACCTTACCAGTTAGTTCCCTCCCCAATATACGATTCATGGGGAAATTTTCCAGGGTGGAAAGAAATTTTTATGATCTTTCTAAGCGAACGGAAACCATGAAGGTAAACAGTTCACACTCCATTTGCTGATCCACAACATATCCCTGACTTTCAGTGCAGAATAGATGGCATGAGTCGGGTTCTAATTGCCAGACATAGTGCACGGCTTATACCCTACGTTTCGAAGTCTGCTAAAAAACAATTTATACAAATCAATATCTATACCTTCTTTCAAGTGCCCTTGTAGTATCAACAGTACTGTCAGGTAGCTGATAACGATAATAATGCACGGTATCCAGAAGACGAACAGCAAGTGATTGATGTTGTACATTTTCTCCAGTCGCTGCATATCCATTAGCTCTTGTTCGATCTGAAATGGGGATCGGTTATAACTGATTGGTAATAACAATAAAAACATTTTATTTGTAACCTTCGAGAGGATGGTGAGTCATTCAAATAGCCCTGCGGTGACCCAAGCGGTTTTAGGATTGATCCTCAACTGAATCAAGAAGGGGACCTGGACAGTTTATTCTCCCTGGCTGCTTTCATAGTCCACGATTTGGCCCGCAAGCGAGCGATCGAGCGATGGGGGCGGCGCTTGCCCGCGGTATCGACCAAGATTCAGTTGTAAGTAAAGGCCAAGCGTCGTCCCAGACGCTGGATCGCGGGCCAAATCGTGGACTATGAAAACAGCCCCTGACTTTTCGCAAATGGAGCATAACCCCAGCCGGTTACACAGTTACCCTTAACTTTCCACACAATAGTTACTTATTGTCATTGAATGATCTGTTGTCATCAGTTGAATGAACATTTTCGTATAAACGATCACACAATGACGAAATGATTCATTTTTTATGATTACCTTGACTTTTTCCACGTCTGAAGAATTAGTCGCTTTCATCTCGTTGAACTTCTCATGCACAAATATCGTCCACAACGGGGTGCACTGTCTGGAACAGTTCATTATAAGGACCAAATTACTTAGGAATACCTTTGAAAAACTATTCGTAACAAATGTAGACAAATCAAGAGCTCAAAGAGATTCGACAATTCCTTTCCCTTTTAGGAACTCATTTCTCCGGATTTCAAATGATTCATTTCTCCGGGGAGCCCGGAGCCTTCCCCCGGCAAGAGCGAAAAATGACAGTGATCGTAAGTATTCCACTTGACCGATCTTGAAATCCTTCTCCCCCCACACACACACCCATACTATTTCCCATCTCATTTGGATGGACATTCGCGTGGGTAATTATGTGAAGAACTCGTCATTTCCAGGCTTGTTAACACTGTGGGAGGTTCTGTATTGGAATGCAATAGCAATAATAAGGCGTTCATCAATCAAAACACCAGTACTTCTTGAATAAAGTCGTCGGTCCAATTAATAAGGGCAATTTATGGGCGCTTGAATTGATACGATTTCATCCATGGAAGAGCTTCGACAAGAAGAGTCAATCTCCTCCTTTCTTTAGAAAAAGTAGGGAAGTCAGAAATTTTAATCTCATTCTAAGGGTTTGAGATCTAGGCACTTTTCCTTAGGAGCAAAAAATGTCAGGACGGAGCACTTTCTGGGAACCGTTGTCCATATTCATCATGGGAAAGAGCTTATACGAATCAGAAAATTGTTTCGCTACCCTTCAGCGCTTATCACGTAGTTGGAAAGAGGAAAACAAAACGATTACATAGAGGACTCAAACCCTCAGGTCACGTCCACAAATCCAAAGTCCTACCGACTGCGCCATCGCTCCACATCGGCTATAGTACTCGGCCTTCTTATTCGTTCCCTACTGTCGAATATCACCCAGAGGAGAAGCTTTCAAAAATAAAGCCCCAGTATAGTTCCGCAGATATGGAATGTGGATTAGAGGTTCGCGTTTGAAAACGTATGCTACGTCCAAACATTTCTCTTCAGTAACCGCTCACCTAGTGGCTTACCCTTGTAATTGAGACAGAAGCAGAAAGGAGAAGATTTGGCAGGTTAGGAGCCAACAGGAGATTCTGGATCGAGTATATGCCGTCGCAACTGATCCCTCCGTCCAACAGACCCCCCTCAAGGTTCCCACAGATTACAACATCTGTACCGAAAAACCGGCAACTGGAGAGGGAAGCGAAGAGGTCTACGTGACAACTCCGAGCCGAAAGTAGTTCCAAACCGAAAATCCACAATCAATCGAATTGTTAGTACTACCCCTAGCTCGTTTAGCAAATATTGCCAAGGTCTCCTACTCAATCAGGCAAATGCTCTTCAGTCATACACTTCGCTACATGGGTTTCACATGCTCGGGGTTGGTAAACGAGTAAGAATGCAACGTTGTTTTGTGAGCTTCTTCTTGAAATATATTCCGTGAGTGTTCACGAATCCCTCGGTGTAATCACAGCTCATCCAGGAACCAATGATCATCCCACACATCCCTCTCTCGGTGATCTTTGAACGGCATTGGAAAGGCTGTGTCTTTCGCCTAGTTGATGAATAATTAAAGTAAGCTCTTAGGGAGAGCGCGTATCGCAGAATTCATGAAAAGCACATGGTTGCAGAGTTTTCTTGCAGATTGCATTTTTTTATAAGAAAGCATGCGAAGGACGAGGAACTGCGACTGACAGATCAGCTGGGCTAAGAGTAGAGGAAAACGATTGTAACTGGCAACCCCAAAATCACTCCGAAGTCGAAACAGAACGCTGAGGACGGGTATGAAAGAAAAATAATAGGATGACAAATGAATAAGTAGGAATAATTACAACTTACCGGAAATCTTTATCATCATAGGGCTCAAACACTCTGAATATGAGGGCCTGCGGTAGACTCAGAGCGAATGCGGCCAACCATCCAATCACTAGAAGACGTCTACAGCGCAGATAAGCTCGACGATGAGCGTTGATCGAACTGAAATTGGCCTTATGTAGTCAGCATGAAAACCTCAATTCGAATCATCGTGGGTATACTGTATGGTACGCAAGTACGGTAAGATCATTGACTCTTTGAGCGCTATTTTCATGTAACTGAGCTTGTCTGACCAGTCCTTGGCAAAGTGCTTGTAAGGATCCAGCCTGAAATATGTTCCACGCGCCCATGGGACTACGCTCCCTTGTTTCGCGAGCGACTGGCACCCACCGGTGGGTGTCGCTGTTCCAAGAGCAAGCTCTTTCACTGGCTTATCGAATTTAGCAATTGATAGGAAACAAGGAAGTAAGGTGGCACCCAAAATTGTGTGACAATGTCCCATGTGCCACTAGGCACCCACCGGTGGGTGCCATTGTCGTCAAAAGATTAAAGGGATGCGGATGAAAGGGAGAATGTGGAGAGGATATACATATACATACACATATATTTCAGAGTTTTTTGAATCTGGGAAGGGGACCTTGTTTTGAAGAAAATTATGAAGGGACGTTGTAGTGGGGAGCCGATTACTATTACGCGAAATTGAACCCCGATCACGCCGTACGCCATTCAAGTCCAAAAAAATAGCAGACCAAAGGTATTGCCCCCCCACCCGCTAT